ATTTCTGGGTAGGGAATTGGGGTACGTCGGCCCGCTGGAAGCGATGCCAGAAAAACACCTCCTTTTAACCTGCGATTTCTAATTTTTTTAATTGAGAAAAGCAATTATCTTACTATTTAAACCGCCACCCAATTGAATAGACCGAGTTCTATCACATGGAACAATTAAATTAATCGTCCATCAAATCCATATCACATCCAGTTAATCATCAAATCATTCAAACCAAAGCAAGTCAATCAATAAATAAAGGACCACTCTTTGCCTTTGATTCAGCGGGCTACAAACCGAACCTAAAAAATACATTCCTACCCGACTTCGAAATCAACCCAAAAACGCACAGACCAAAATATGGCATAATTACATTTTAATATTCGAAGCTTAATTAAATTCGCAATCTGTTGCATAATTGGTCATTTTGGATTTAATTGGAAAAATTAATTTTAATTTTGTACAAAATTTATTACTTTTTAAAAAAAAACAAAAATTATTTCTGGATCATAGAAAGTCCGCGTCACGCAGTGCTCTTTGGAAAAACGTTGCGTGACGGATCCAAAAGTGTGTGACGGAACTGTAAAAAAATTGGTTGCTGAAACAGCTGCATCACGCAACTAAGTAGTTCGGTGCCTAACTGTTCATAATCTGGAAAACAGAATACTTGGGCATGAATGAAATTTTTGGACATGAAGTTTCGTCACACATCTGCCAATCGTTACGGATCTAGTAGTTGCGTGACGCAAACTGTTGGGTAAGAGAAATAACATTTTGGATATGAAAGCTCCGTCAACATATGCCGATTCTGTTACGGATTACTGGTGCGTGACTGCAGCTGCTCTTGGTCGAGCTCTGTTTTTAAATTATTTGTTTTGATGGTTTCTTTTTATTTAAATATGCTTTAAGAAGATCCTTGAAAATGACCATGATGAACAAATACAGTTTAATTCAAGATTAACTTACTAAAACATGATCAAATAAATTAAGAAATAATAAAAAACATAAAAAGTGTAAAGAAATTTTACTTATCCTCAGCATTGAGGATGTGTGATGGCTTAAATGCCCTTAACGAAGATGGTTACAGGCGCTCCAGAAGCTTTGTCAACAAGGATTTCAAAACCACTTCGTTCTTTTCTCTGTTGATTTTTTCTCTTTTTTTTGATTTTTGTTTTTACCCTAATTGATATCTAATGGCTATTTTTCTTCAAGGAACTCAAAAGAGTCTCTGGAAGAAAACCTAGCCAAAAAATGGTTTTTTCGACGCCCAAACTTCCTGCCTTTTTGCAACTGAGAAAAAGATTGAATTTATAGCAAAGTAGGGCAACAAGAGGATCAGCTTGCCGTCACACACCTTCTCGGCTGCGTGACCGGCCCGATACGCTGATTATGCAGCTGTCTTTCTGGACCACAGACACGTGTGGCATGTCCGTCATATTGGTCGAGTTTCATACATCGGAGCTGCGTGATAGCAGCTGACGTCCGTCACGCAATAGATAGCTGCGTGATGCAACTCTGATGCCAACCAAGACATCTTTTAAAAATTGAATTTTAATTTAAATCCTTTTGGAATAAAAGACTTCTAGATAGCATTAACCTTTCATTCTATATCTCGATCTCTTTTCGGATTAGGCGGGGGCATAAAGACACGTCGTCAACAAGGAGTTTCCGGATTGGATCTGATATTAGTCCCTTTGAAAAGCCAGCCAGCCATTACAAAGACGCGAAGCACTGAGCTAACAAGTCTGCTCATGCGCAGGCTTTGGGAGCTGTCTAACAGGTTGAAGCTTGAACTTAATGAGGATGCCAATGGCCTTGAAACTCGCTTAAGGCCATCAATGCCCATCAACAGACAATGCTGAGATACATGCTGAAAATTAAGGAATACGCCCAATCGGACTAACTGACAAGTCGCATCGTAGGTATCCATTGATGATGTGAGCTGACGACGCAAAGAAGTTCAATTGGTCAACAAATCCATTCTGATACATGTGACTGCATGTAGGAATTTGGCAGCCCAAACTGAAATCAATGGCGACATCGGATGTGAGTGATCTTTTTAGTTCATTTTATTTACTCACTTCCCTCATGAGTTTTTGGTCAGTCCAGGTGAATTACAAACCCTTAAGAAAATGGACATTCCGGAAATCAAGGCCATGTTGATACAAGAGAAGGAGAGAATTAAGAAATTGAAGGAACACTCTGTCAATCTACATTTTCATTATGGAGTAGCAGAGCAACAACAAACAGGGAAGAAAGGCAAGAAAGGGACAGTGCCCCAATGGAAGGTTTATGAGGGCCAAATCCTGTAAGGAATTGAAGTGCTACTTTCTGTAAGGCAGAAATGGTCACTTCAAGAAAGTACTTGTCTCTAAGGAAGATTTGGTTTGGAAGAAAGGTATACTTTATGTTTCAGTACTGTTTTGAATCAAATCTTATGAAGTGCCTAATAATACCGGTGGTTTGATTCTTGGGAGCGCAACTACTCATGTGTCTCATATTATACAGGATTTCTTTCGATCCACCCATAACCGAAACTGGAAAAGTTCCTATAACGTGGCGAAACAGAATGAGGCACGAATAGAAAGGAATTGGACTTATAGATTTGATCCTGGAACACTGGTTGTTATTAGATCTTGAAAAGTTGGTCCTCTATGTTCCTGATGGTGCTAGAAATCTAGTTCTGTAGGGAGGTTGATAATGTTGGGTTTAATTTTAAATTTTTTTAAATGGTGTTCTTTCATTATAATCAAACATAAGTACTATATGGTTCTGTACTTTGATTGATGGTTTTGTATCCGTTTTTATCTTGATGTGAAATTTATTGAATCCCTGTTTAATGTTGAACACAATATATGGTAATAAACATAGTGCACATATGACGTTTTGGCTTTCTTGTGGCATCAAAGTTAGGTCCATATATAGCATTTTGAGGATTAATGAAAGGTGAACATCTACCTCAATGGACTTCAACTGACTAGGATGTTGTGTATAGATTCGCATTAAAGTTTACAAATTACAGCACACTTCAAGAATCCAGCCCAAGAAGATGATTGCTTGAACTTATACCACTGATATATATGGTCCTTTTATGTTCCCCTGCTTGGGTGGTGAAATATTTTATTACTTTCTGCGATGATTTCTCACGGTACGGTTAATGTATATTGCTGCATGAAAGTCCTCAATCAGTGGATTCCTTGAGATATTCCTTAATGAGGTGAAGGCAGTTTAATAGAAAAGATTAAAGTAGTGACATCTGATAGAGGTGGTGCAATTTATGGTAATTTTTAATGAAAATGGACAATGTCAGGTCCATTTGCAAAGTTTTGAAATCATGGCATTTGTGTCGCAATACAACGATGCAGGTACACCTCAACAGAATAGTGTAGCTGAAGCGAAATCGTACTCTAATGGAAATGGTTAGGAGTATGCTAAATAATTGTACTGTACCTTTAATCATTATGGATGGCATGCATTAAAGACCTGTTGCCATTTTACTTAATAGGGTTCCTAGTAAGGCAGTTCTAAGACCCCTTATGAACTGTGGTGGGAAGCGAAACCTAGTCTGCGCCATTTTCATGTTTTGGGGTTGCCCAGCGGAAGAGGATATATAATCCACAGAAAAGAAGCTTGATGCTAGAAGGCTTATCGTGGATTTTCTCATGGATATCCTGAAAAGTCAACACGGGTACAGATCTTTTATTGTCCTAACAAGTACGAGATTGATTGGTCTGCGGTAATGCTCGGGTTTATTGAAAATGGCCAATTAGTGGAGCAGTGAAACGTAAGGTGAATGTGCGAGAGATTCAAAGATTTGAAAATCCATCTCAGATGGATTTTCCTAATGTCTCTTCTTCGGTTGTGTTGTTCACTTGTGTAATCAGGTTTAACAAATGGGTTGAACAACAAAACAACATTTTCGAACCACAAACATGACATATAAATGATGAACCAGCAAATATGAACAATTCATGAATGATCAACGTGGTTTCACAAGAATAGCTTACGGAGGTCACAAGGAAAAAAATGTCCAGCTATTTCTAAGTCGCGATTAGTGGTTTATCACTTAGAGCATGATATGAATTGAGCATTGATAAGGGCTCAGTCTCTTTTTCCAAAAGCCATGGATGGTGATAATATCTGAAAAACCTGGTTTAATGCATGAAGGAAGAAATGCATCAATGAAGTGATAATCAAGTCTTTGTGATTTTAGTCGAGTTTGCCCTGAGGGGTGCAAAACAACGTTGGGTTGTAAATGGGTTTTTCCAGACCAACGGGACTCTAAAGGCAACATGAAAGATATAAGGCCAGAACTGTTTGCTAACGTTACTCAGAAGGAATGGCATTGATTTATAAGAGACCCTTTTCTCGGCAGTTTTTCCGAAAAGGACTCTTAAGAATATTTTGGCTTTTAGTGGCTGATTATCGAATTTAAGAGCTTCACCAAATGGATGTAAAGACAGCTTTCTTAAAGGTGACTTAGAGGAGGAAGTATATATGGACCACCGAGGGGTTTTGTGTTTCAGGAAAGGAAACTTTGTGTGTAAGTTAAAGAATTCAATATATGGACTGAAGCAAGCTTCCGTCAATGGTATCTTAAGTTCAATAATTACATCACTTCATATGGTTTTAATTAGAAAACACTTGTTTTTATCGGTGTATTTATATGAAGGTCAGTGGGAGCAAGCTATCATGTTAGTCCTATATGTTCGATGAACATTCTTTTCTTGCTTGCGAAAAATGTTAGGTTGTTGCATGAATGTAAAGGGTTTTCTCTCTAGACTTTGAATAAAGATATGGGAGAGGCACCCTTTGTGATTGGAATACCGAAGATATTCCGTGATAGATCAAAGGACTGTTAGGATTTGGTCTCAAAGATGCTTTACCATTGATCAAGCGTATTAGAGGAGATTCAAAATGGAAAAATGCCTCCGCAGGAATAGTTCCAATTCAAAAAGAGATAGGTTCGCGAAATAAACAATGTCCCTAAGAATGAATTTGGGAACGTAAGAATGGAGTCTATTCCATATGTGTCAGTGGTTGGGAGCTTAATGTATGTTCAGACATGTACTCGACCGGATATTAGTTTCGTCGTAGGAATGTTAGGGGGATATCAAAGTAACCCTAGGATGGACCATTGGAAAGCTACAAAGAAAGTACTTAGGTATTTACAAGGCACTAAAGATCATATACTCACTTATAGAAACTCCAACCATCTAGAAATGGTGGGATACTCAGATTCAGACTACGCCGGTTGTGTAGATTCGAGAAAATCTACATTTGGCTACTTGTTTCTCTTAGCTGGAGGAGTAGTATCATGGAAAAGTAGAAAGCAATCTGTCATTGCTACTTCCACAATGGAGGTTTAATTTATGGCATGCTTTGAGGCCACTGTTCATGCTTTGTGGTTGCGGAACTTTGTCTCAGGTCTAGGCATTGTCTACAGTATAGCTAAACCATTGGAAATTTATTGTGATAATTTCGCAGCTGTCTTCTTCTCTAAAAATGATAGGTACTCTAAGGGTGCAAAGCACATGGATTTGAAGTACCTATCTGTGAAAGAACAAGTGCAAAAACACAAAATGTCAATTGAGCATATCGGTAAAAATGTAATCTGAAGCATATCGGTGCACTAAAAGATCCTGATGAATACAAGCAGGATATCGCATACTAAAGGATTTCCGACCAAAATCTTTTCACATGGTCATGTGTGATAGGATGGGACATTATACGACTACGAGTCTTGTTAGCAATGATGTTTTAACTATGTATAATAGTAATAATACATACTGGTTTAAGATTGTTGACTCAATAATTATTGTGACAATGTAAGGAATTCAATTAAAGAATGTGTTTATGCTATAATTTATGAGCGTTATCCAACATTTATAAGTTGTATAACAACTGATGGGTTTGAGTGAGATAAACAATAAAATTGATTGTGATAATGTATTGTTTAATTAGAAAAAGTTAATTATCTCCACATAAGTGTTTATGAATTCGAGTGGATCTGTGATAATCATGGCAAGAATCATGTCATTATCTGATTTGTGACGGCTAATAAATAACACGGTCAAATTTTAAATATCTTAATATATATAAAAGCTAAACTGATAGGACCTTCAAAGAATGCAGTACCATAAGGCTATGAATGGGAGATATGTGTTAGATTAATTTAATAATCTATGTATATGGATATGTGATTAAAGGGGCTGGTTCTAATAAGGTGGCCCTAAGATGATGGTTGCGGCTTAATGATAAAGGAGCCAAATTTAGCGTTATTTAATACTCTACCTTAATTATAAAAGATAAAAAGCGAATCACAGCTTAGGGTGGAAACTGAAAACGAGAAACAAAAATAGAGAGTGTAGAACGGATACCTCAAAAACTACCGATAGATAACCCTTGTTTTGGAGAGCGTAGAACAAGAATCTATACAGCTGTTGATAATTTCTGACCATTGAGAGAAAAAATTTATACGGACAAAAGCTCCAAGAGCCGAAACACATCTACTGATTAGGGAAATCAAATTGCCACGCAAGAGGTATCCTAAACTAGATCTGCTAGTTCAATGGATAACATAGATCTGCTGTTATGGATCAAGGTACGCTTCCGCTTATTGTCTATTTCTATCAAACAAATTCTATGAACAATAGATCTAGGCTACATTAAAGATTATTCTACATCTCATTCACAGAGTTTCTCAAAAAGGGATGAACTCTCCAGGAATGATCTCGAATGATCTCCAGCAAGTTTAGGAGTATGCTATGAATCATGTTTCTTCCTGTGCTTTCCAAGCTCTTTGTTTTAGTAGAATAATGGAAAAATTTGCCATCTTTCTTAAGAGTTATCTTTTCATATTCACTTTCTTTTTAGAACCCTCCAAAGGCTTAGAGAACGAAGAACTTTGGATGCTATGAAATCTTGCTCCTCCTCTCTATTATTTGATAACGAAGTTCCCCCACTGTTAGGTTATTACCTTTCTTTAATGACCCAAAGAAATCATGCCTTTCTTATTTGGACTCTCTTGGAATTATGTTATCTCTCCTATATGAAGAAGCCAGCTGTTGGGAAATTGTAAAAAGAGAAGGCCTACTAATCAACTCCAGCAAATAATTTATAGCTTCTTCAGAACCTAGGAGTGTGAGCATAAGAACAAATTAGTGGAATGGAAAATGATGCTATGATGTCCCGACTGCGGGACACAGGAATGAATTGAATCATATATTGAAAAAGGCAAAACTAATCAGCAGAGGCGCCTTTTGGTGAAATTGTTTGGAGAGTTGGAAGAACTTCAAAGTTAAGCATGCTAGCTTAACGGAAATCCTAAGATGGGTGACCACTGGGAAGTTTCCTATTTCACCCACGGGACAAAATCATGCGGATCTTCCAATCCAGTATGGGATGGATTCAGCTTGATCCAAAGCGGACAATTCCTCTGGTGATTGGAGTCAGGCATGACAGTTGCTATCAAAGCCGGATCCCTCCAGTAGATGTATGGTTTGAGGATGGACTATCAAAGCCGGATCCCTCCAGTAGAATGTAATGGTTTTTGAGGATGAACCATGTGAAAGTTTGGAGGACTGTGATATCCAGACTGCGGGACTCAGGAAGTAATCGAATGATCCAAAGCGGACAATTCCTCTGGTGATTGGAGTCAGGCATGACAGTTGCTATCAAAGCCGGATCCCTCCAGTAGATGTATGGTTTGAGGATGAACCATGTGAAAGTTGGAGGGACTGTGATATCCCGACTGCGGGACTCAGGAAGTAATCGAATCATTTATTGAAAAGGGGAAAACTAATCAGCAGAGGCTCCTTTTAGTGAAATGGTTCGGAGAGTTGGAAGAACTCCAAGGTTAAGTATGCTCGCTTAACGAAAATCCTAGGAAGTTTCCTATTTCACCTACGGGACAAAACCATGCGGATCTTGCCAATCCAGTATGGGATGGATTCGGCTTGATGCAAAGCGGACAATTCCTCTAGTGATTGGAGTCGGGCGTGGCAGATGCTGACAACCTTAATGACTGGGCGATGAAATGATTTTAAGGAATGAGCTATATGATCTTGATAATGGAGACTACTAAACTTTTAATTCTTGAAAGGAACATTGGTAGGCTCAAGTTCAATAAGATAATGCCTTTCTGCCAAAAGGAGTGTTCGAAGTAGTGATCTAAGTATTGAAGTAGTGATCGCACCTTTCTTTTTTTCATCTAGTCAATATTACAAGCACTTCGATGTTCTCTCGGATAATGCGATAATTGAATGTTTTATAAATCTTCAATAATATATGTTATGTTCTCATCCTTTAGCAATTTTCAATTCGGGGATGAATTGTCCTAAGGAGGAGAGAATTGAAATAACCTGAAAATTAATTTCATAGATTTCTTATTTAAAAGATAAATTTTAATATCAACTAATGAGATTGTACAGTAAAACATTTTATTATTGCTTAACCGGACCCCTAAACCAGTTTGAAATCTTCTAAACCAAGTGGAAATCTGATTAATTCCTAATTTGGACCAAATCTGGTTCAAATCAAATTGGAATGACCCAACACACTAGAAGCTTATTCCTTTTCCTTTTTTTTTTCTTTTCTCCTTCTTCTATTCTCCTCTTCGACCAGCGGCAGTTCACCTTTCTCCACCTTTCTCTCTCTCCTTCGTTTTTCAGCCAAAAATCCACGTGAAGGAGTGATTTTAGAGCCTTAAGACCATCTACACATCACAAGAAGTTGGATTCAAGCTTTTGGTTTGTGTGACTTGAGCTTGAATCGAGAGAAGATCGAGACTGAAACGCTACATGGGGTGTGATTTCTCGCTGTTTCAGGTAGTTCCAGTGTTGAGGATAGGCATCAATCGATTTCTTTCCTTCCTGTGAGCATTTGCCCTCTGAAAAGTGCGAGCATGGTGGTTGATTTGTGAAACCACCATGGACAGTGACTCTAGGCTCTTGTCGAGCCCGCTCCGACCAATTAAAGGGCCGATCTCGCTCAACCAATAACAGAAAATGGATTCCTCAGTGAAATTTGAGCCAAACGAAGGTGCTCGATTATGGGCATCATGACTTTTTGGCCACCGCGAATGGCAATGCAAGCGGTGGCCGGTAACCGACCAGTAGGTCTCCAGCAAGACCCTGGGAGGAAAAAACATGGGATTAATTCACCGAACTTGAATCCAAAATTTGATTTTCAATCGGTATAGTTTAAGATTCAGTTTAACAAATTTAATGTAAATTTCAAGTTTAGAAATTATTATTATTGGATTAAAATAGTTTTCATTAAAGTGATTAAGGATTATGAGTAAAATAAGAGTTTTAATAAATTTAAGCAAGTTATAATTATTGCCATAAAACATAAATTGAGGACTTTAGTGAATATGAATTTATAGTATGAATTTTGAATAAAATAAGCAAAGCATATAAATTAAAATGCTTGGTTATGAGGATTGTAATTACTTGGACCTTAATTCATTATATATATATATTCGTCCTTTAAAGAGAAATTGGTTTCTTAATTTAATTTGAGCTAATGATTATTAAGATTAATTATAAATCTAATAACAAAATAACTTGAATACTTAGTGTTATACGAATTGTTTGGAAGAAAAGTAATTTGAGTAAAATGAAATTTATTACTGGATGAGCTGCGTGAGTAGTAGATGATAGGCATATTAAATGATTAATACTCGCACAAGTGGAAAGTCCTATTTTAGGGAAATGCTGTAAAAAAAATATCGATAAGATTTAAATTAATTATGTAGTTTCTTATTAAAGGAAAGCCATCTATTTAATGCAGTCTTTCCATTATATTTGTGTTTTATCTAGATCGTCTGAGTTTGTCTATCGCTCTTGCCAGTTAAAATCCAAGTGAAGGCCTTCTCATTCTTTTATCACTGTGAGTAATAATATTTATCCCTTATCTCCAGGTATTAATATGATATTATTGAAATATAATTATTATTAACGTCATCTACTTTATAAATATAATACTATAATTATATGACTACTATATATTATATGCACCATGACTGTACTCATGTATTGCATAATGATTATCGATGAGATCTATTGTATTGAATAAATTGTTTGAATTACTTATAATGTGATAATGATGTGCCTTGTTTCCATAGGATGAAGTGGGTCACCATAGGATTGTGATACGGTCCGGGACCATTGGCCATGTATGGGAGATCCGCGCCCTCGTGTGCATTTGATGAAATATGATATGAATGATATGGAAAAACCATAGGGTGGCTTCCTATTGGAAATGGAAAGGAAAGAGAGAATGGAAAAAACAATGTGAGGATTGATCAGGTGAGGAATAGACCAGTTGGCCATGTAGAGGTGATTGGCTCCCTAGTGCACATGTA